CCCCCCCACTGCTGGTCTTGTATTCACACCCAGACAGAATATCTGCATTTGTACCCCTTATTACCGCCCCCAGTAGAGCGCCCAAGGATGGCTAAATATTCCAGGAGCTTTCAATTTTTCAGGCAGATCTTTGAACCTCCTCTTCCCAGCACCATCACACTCAAGGGAGTTGGGAGTTTTGACAGTCATTAGCAGGGGGTCATCTACAGCTCCTCAGGGAAAGACTTAAAACAAAAAGACCTCTCTCTCTCGCTCTCTCTCTCTCTTTTAGTTTCTCTTCAACTCCTCTTTTGTTTGGTTCTGTCATAATTCCACTTCCTGTGTTCGAGGCCGGGGCGATCTCGCCTCAATCTTGTTGCTTCGTTCGAATTCATCAGCTGCAAACGAGGCGTCCAGAAAACCCTTTTTAATAACTCCGATGTCACGCTTCTTATGGCGCTGTCAAAAGTGGTGACAGTGCTCCCAAACATCGGTTTTTGCCCCTGTAAGGCGTTTATCCACTTGTATAATGTTCTGTTAGTGCTTATGCTGGATCAAATGCGAGGAAAATGGCCTCCAGCTGAAAAGAGAGTTTTGAGGAAGGCGAAAGGAGAGGGAGAGAGGGAAAAATGAGAAAACATTTCTTCTTCACTCTTTTTTTTTTTTTTTTTGCGCTAATGTGAATTCCCACTGAAATGTCTGGCAAAGTAGGTCAATGGGATTTAAAAAGTTTGTGCTCCTTTTTTCTTCTTCTTCTTCCTCTTTCCCACTCTCTCCTCTCATTCTCTCTTCTCAATGGAAAATGAGCAATGCGATTAGAAGAGGGGAAGATGATGAGCTGGAGAGTGAGAAGGAAAAACAGCAAAGGGAAGAAGACGACGACAAGGAGGAAGAGGAAGAAAAGAAGGCACAAGGACGTGGCTGAGAGGGGAGGTTTGGGAGTTCTCGCAGGTCCCTCTCCAGCTGACGGAGAATCCAAAACAAAGAAAGAAAAAATTGGATCGGAGCTCCAGTAAAAAGGTCTGGCATCTCGTCGTCTTGAAGCAATTGATTTGATTTGATTTGATTTATTGATTTAACAGGAAAAGATTATTAAAAATCAAGCCTGACTCAGCATGATTGCTGTTTTACAG